TCTAGTCCGGTCCGATTAAAACTCTTGAGGATTTTTTGTATCAAGACTTAGTTCTTTTTTTTTCATATTTAAATTATGAAATTGTATAAAGCATTCTTTCTAAACATTGGAAGAAAAATAAATACAACCATGTTTTCATTAAAAAAAAAAACTACCGGTATGTCATGACGTCGCTACTATATGAAAAATTCCGAGGAAACGTAAAAAAGATGTTAACTTTAAGCTTTTCAAACTTGTCGTATTGATTTCCCAAAAGACCAGAAAATAATGTCTGTGGTTTTTTTTGGAGACGGGGTCTTCCATCAATCAAATGAAATCCCTTGGGTACTAATTGCGACCCTTTTATATGCAGAACTATCTTTGTATTCATGTGAAGCAGAATTTGTGCAAAATGGTATTTGTGAAAAGAAGAAAACACTTGCTGTGGCCTTCAATTTGACATTTAGTTATATCAACAACGTATTGTCAATTGACAATAGTAATTTCCATTCTTATATCGATACGATATGTCCTGGTGAGCTTGAGATAAAAGATACTACAGAGTCTGACACATTTGTTTCATATGTGGATATTTTCCTTAAAAAGACGTTATGTTAATCTAACAACCAAGCTCTATAATAAACGTTATGACAAACTTTTCTATCGTCAACTTTACTTACTTATGCAGCAATATACCCCGGTACGTATGAACAATTTCTAAAACGAGGTAAATTATTGACAAAAAAGTTGATGAGACAGAAAATATAAGCAGTCTCAATTAAAGTCATCATTTAGAAAGTTCTGTGGTCGATACAATGACCTTGTCAGCAAATACAATTTATCATTAAGTCAAATGCTGACTGACTGTTTTTCATACTAATTGTTAGTCCATTATTTATACACTGAATTGACGACGGATTTTCTGTTTTCACGATAATGAAAAGGAGCACACAGCAGGTGTGCCCGGTCGGCAGGGGATGCTCAGTCCTCAATGACAGCTGATCTCACCTCTGATGTTTTGTTTGCTCTGCTTCTATTTTGCATTGTTTAATGGACATTTGATCTTGAATGCTGTTTGTCATCTCCATATGTTTCATGCTCTATATGTTTCATATTAGTACATCATTTTTAGATACATGTAATATAATAATTTACCAATATCGATATATATATTTTCGATGATTATGTTGAATGATTACAAGTTCTTACAACTTAGAAAAACTTTTCCCTGTAACATTTGCAATACCGTAAATCTGAAAATTTTTGCTGTAGATTAATTTTTAGCAAATTTGCGAGTTCATTGCATTCGCAAAAATATTTTTCTTAAAAATAGATTACCAATAAGTAAATGTATACAAATCAGCGGTCATTCGCAAAATTTTGAAACGTAAAAATTAATCAACAGCATTTTAACCCGAATTCGCAAAATAAAATCGACGTAAAAATTTCCAGATTTACGGTATTCACAATCATTGTGATTGTGGAACGAATTATTCACAGTTGTAGTAAAAATGTAAATGCATGAAACATATAAAGTACACTTCAAAGCCACTAATTAAAGTTTACCTGAATCTCGAATAAACTTTTGAACTGGTAAAATACTTTATTACTTCAGCAGACAAGTAATTATTTCAGAATAATTAAAGATAAATATTGACTATTATCAAATGGTTATACTGTAGAATGTTGCTGTAAGGCCATTTCTTGGCCGCTCATAGCGAAAAAGAAATTATACACATTTTCATTTTGGACAATCTATTATAATCATCCGATATAAATCATAATTAGATATGCCTTATTTTCGTTTGGATTATATCTGAATAGAGTCCTCATTTGAAAAAAAAAATGAAGATGGCTTAGATGGATGTGTACTTCAAACAAGCTACCTTGTTAATTAACTGTTACAAGGGGTTCCAAGCCTGGTTTTGAGCAGAGGATGTCTCTAGAAACAACTTTTTGGAGATCAGAGATGGTTCTTGGAGCTAGCTGAACTTTCACTTATCTATGGAGATAACGTTTGGTATTCAAGCTCAAGTCCATTAAACAATACAAAATTTTAGCAGAGCAACGCCTTGTGCTCCTTGTTATGATTGTGAAATTACGGAAGAATCCGTTGACAGGTTAATCTTCAAACAATGGCCTAAAAATTAGTATGATAGGTTTCAATCAGCATTTGATATGGTCATGGTATCGTCCACAGAACTTACGAAATGATGACTTTAAACGAGAATGCCGACATTCTTGTTTAATCAATTTCTTTGTCAATAATTTACCTCTTTTAAGAATTCATTCACACGTAGAGCGCATGCTGTTGCGTATCGAATCAACTGAGTTATATAAAATAGTTATTGAGGGTATTTTGTTATGACTATGATTGATATATTGTAAAGTTAACTTCATCACGTTAATCATAGATCTTGAATATTAATTCTACGGAAAAGTGTACTCAGTGAATAACTATAGGTATGGTGGTAAATCTTTCTCATTGTCTACGGAAAAGTGTATTCAGTGATAGACTATGTGTGTGGTGATTAATGTAAACCAACTTTTATTTGCGACGACTTTGCTTTGCGATTTACTGGTGTAAAACTAGTTCGCGACGATTAATTTTCGCGATCAAACTTTTTTAAAATCTGTTTTTAATAGACACAGACTTAAAGGACTGGTTCGCGGCGAGAAATATTCGCGATGAAGAGGCTCTCTCAAAGTTCGCGAAAGTTTCTAGCACGCGAATAAAAGTTGGTTAACAGTAATCTTTTCGAGAATTCTAACTTTCATTGACAAAATAGAATGATCAGTAAAATAAAATATTTGTATAAAAGCTGCTGTCCCCATTATTTATTTGAAATCTATGACCTGATATTCTTTTATTAAGTGATTCCTTGGTTTCACCAAAAAGGAGTCTACACAGATAACATTCTACTCCGTAGACAACATTAGAAGATTTGCAGTTCAGATTTCCTTAGGTTTTGATATAGAAACTCTGTCGAGTAACATTACTAGTAAAAGAAGTGTAAGTTATCAAAATGTCACGAGTTTTACAATTTTTCGTAGAGCATTTTAAAACAGAACAGAAAATAGAAATGGAATCTTCAATTATATCTGTAACATCTTTTTAATACCAACTTCAGAGAACTTTTGCTTACAAACAGAATGTTTTAAACATACTGACTTTGCATATGACCTGAGACAAAATAAGTAAATTTACGAGTACTATTTTTATTAAAAAAGGTGCTGTCAATAATTTGAAAAGGACTGGAATTTAATTTATGGTGTGGAATGGTTAAAAATATAAAAATGAAAAATCGTTAGTTTTGATGCTGTTGATTCATTTTAAAAATATTAATTTAAATTTTCCAATTGTTGGAATTTTTGAAGATGTGGATACTAAATTAGATGTATCCGCATCTGATTTACACCACTTTCGAATATATTGTTGTACATTAATCCATAGAAATAGATAATAGAGGGGGATTTAACTCAAAAGAAATTAGAAAAGTTGAATCCATCCCGAATGTCAATGTTTGTACTTCTGCAGCCTCAAATCCCATTTAAAAACGGCTCTTTGACACTCTGTGACTAATATATGATGATCACATAATTGGAACACGACTACAAATATTTTAAATAAAGGGCACATCTGTATCATCTTTATGGGAAAACCCTGTTTTAAGTATATTACCTTAATTAAAGAAAGGGGGTTTCTGATCCATTTTGAATTCACCATTTTATTCATTTCAACCAGTGACAACACCATATCTTTGTCATAGTCATGAATACAACAAATATTTTAACATGTACTTACTGCATTTACATTTGTTAAAATCAGTATTGTTACAAAATTGATTTCTGATATGAAAGCATTTCTTCAAAAAGTTACATTCTCTGGAAAACTTCAATATTATGCAAAACATAGTCACAACTTGAAGAAAACAGAGAACATTATTACTTGTAAATTGCAGTTCTTTTTTCATTCTAGGTATATCGCATCATCAAATGATTTACAATGTCTTTCATTTTATGAACAAAAGTAAGTTAAAAAACTGTGAAAATCCTAACCCCTATACCAGTTTTATTTTGCATATCAACCTCTAAGATTTCCATTTCAAGACCATTTTATTTAAATCTAACAACAGACTTATATTGTCTATCGATCGGAATAAAAGGTGTAAAATGACATTAAAATTGGTCTTAATCAAATAAAACCTACAAACAGGAGAGATATATAACCCTAAGTCTTCACAGGTGTGCATTGTTTAATCAGGGCGGATAACACATCTTATTCACTATAAAATATATTTAATGATCTTGTTCGTAATAATTAAGGAAGGTTAATCCGTTCTAAACCGTCAGCAATTGTTTACGACATTGTTCACGACATTCGAAAGTGTAGTTCGGGGAGACCTTTAATTAAAACACAGGCCTATTTTACTTGTGTGCACTCCTTGTGCTGTTCTCTATAATAAATGCTTTGTGTCATTTAAACAAATAGTTCAAACTCGAGGCAAGGCACCCTTTTTTAAATCTTTAATTACATATATGTAAATCTGACACATGGCCTTCACGAAAGCTACCACATTCATTTCAGAACAATATTTCTAGATGACAGAGAGAAGTGTTTTACAATTCAGTTTCTGCTTGCAGGTAACAAAGGTATTCCACATACTGAACGAGATAACAACTTATATTTTCTCCTGTAGAAGACAATAAGATTTTAATGCTCACTGACAAATACGTTATTAGAGATTTACGATGATTCAGTTCAATCAATAATTCTACCTGAAAAGTGAAAATTCCTTCGCTGTGCAACACAATTCATTGTCCAATTCTTAACAATCCTGAAACATCAGATAACAATGTAAAAAATATATTTTTTTGTTCATTTCTCTAAATGAAAACATTTCTTTTTGTTAATGATAGTTTATAATACAATAATTTTTGTGGTAGAATTTACGCACAAGAAAAAAGAAAATGTTCTATAATTTTATCCTATCGAAAAAAAAAACCCTTGTATAGCGCCTTTAACATCTTTTCACATCCATAAAAACCATTATTTATCTAACATCCTGTAATATCAATCAAAATATACCCCGAAACAAGCTGCTACGGCAAAGATAGTTTTATTGCTGTAGGAGGCACAGGCGAAGCTGTCACTGTGCTGATCCCACAAGCACCTGCTCCCCATCTGGACCGCCTGGTTCTTATCCTGACCCAGCACCACCTGCACCACGTACTTATACCGGGGCCACCCCAGCTCCTGGATCGCTCGTCTGATGTCGTTGGCCAGTTCTGTCGTTAGAGAACTTCCCATACAGTCTTTATAATTTTGAGATTCAAGTGTCGTACGTAGAATTCGTCTCATTTCTTCTTCCACTATAAAACTTTTGAATCTTTTACCTTCATCTGGTTCTAGTTGATATGTGTTTTCTATTCGTATTCCCTCGTGATGTATGAGTCTATCCGAGGCTACCGAATAATTGTCTGACACAATCCCGGACTTTCCCGGCTTGGGTCCTCTAACCATCCTCTTCTTTGATTTTAACATTGTATCCATTTTGTTAATTAAAGTTAAAAAAAAGAATCAAATTAAGTATTGCACCAGAGAAGTATACCACTGCGTAGAACAGGACAGTTACATAATCTTCACTCCTAGTCGATAGATTCCACTGGGGGAAAGGCTTAAGTCCCTCACTACAGAATAGCGGAATCCACTACTACCAAAACGACCGCACGCCAGTAATTAAATCACTTTCCGGTATCTATACAAAGCGACTGCATTTAAAGGTTCTGTCGGAGAATAGCCAGGCTTCCTAATCCAATAATCCCCGCCAGGTCAATTTATTCCCGAAGTTCGTGCACCATGTATATATAAATACATATACTCCCATTAGCTCGAATTTACCCACGGGCCGTAATTCACTGGATCTTTAAATAATAATTTTAATTTCATTTAAATCCATTAGATTCTATTTTGATTTCATACAAATATATATACTGTAATTGGTCACGGTCATTGATGATTTGATCATACAATACTTTCTATAATCAGTTTTCTTTTACAAAAAAGGAAATCAAAATAAATAAATAAAAAAAAAATAAAGCTTAAAAAATATAAAAATGATTTATTTTTCAGTGGAAGGTTAGGAATCTGGGGCCTTTGATTTTACAAAATTTTCTATATTAAAAATATTATTCAGATCTATAACTGTTTAAATATTAATTTGCAAACATCTAAATATATATAGTGCAGATTCTTTGATATACAAATCATAGTCCCTGAGGGTAGGATGTGGATAAAAAAGCTATTCAAAATTGTACAGTGGCTTATTTTACAAGATTAGCAGGATGTCCCAAAATCTTATCTCCCCCATTATGTAGATTCAATGTTATTCAGGTGTGGGCACTGAATAGGGCGGGGCTAAAATTGGTGAAATGTACATGTATTCAATGGGAAAATCTGTTAAACAATCGTCTTAAATCAAAAAACCATTTCTGGCACATTAATATAAGAATCCTCGTGTGGAAGGGATTCAAGTATTCTTTAAATGATCCATTAATTAAAAAAAAATATAAAAAAAATTGTTTTATATAATTATATATTTTTGACTGTTTTATATTTTTATGGACTTCGTTATCTCCAAATGCTTCCTTCTTTCTGCATATTATATAATTATAAACAATAATTACATTCACGTGATGCTATCAGTAGATTAAAGTCTGATACTTGATATAACTGTCATAAACAAGTGTATATATATTTATCTAATATTGTCAGATAATTCATTTTCAAGTACTGTTATTGACATATAAACATGAGAGAAACTACACACATTTAACCTTTCCTGCAAGTAGATAATATACGCATGAAAATACAAAGGAACAACGAAGAAAAAAATTTAGCAGATGCAATATATGGAGGTGGAAAATTCTTAAATCTTCAAATATACAGGTATGTTTTACTAGTGCTTTTTCAATACAATACACCAATACTAGCCTATTAATATCATATTTACTTTTTATAATTATGAATATCTTCCGTTTCAATTAATTTGTACAATAATTGTCTTAGTGTCTCATGTGACTAAATCACAATAAAAATAATGAATTGAAAAAAGAAAAAAATTCAGTATATGTCTAAAAAAAACTTAAGAATCCTCTCTACACTGCACACTAAAGAGTTCTGACTCTAAAGTATTTTTCTGCAGTTAGAGTGATCTGCCCTTAGATCTAAATTATAAAAAAAAATAGTAATTTACAATATTATTTAATTTGTAATGAATTTAAGTATTCTTAACAGTTTTAAAGGCCAAGATGAATTTATTAAATGTGTTATTTAGATGTATGTACTCTACTGAAGTAATGAACAGTGATTTCTCTTCATTGATACTATGTTGTCTTTGACCATTTTTCTCGGGGGTAAATGCCTCGCATCATACAGTGAATATTAAATAAATAAGCTCAATATAAACTCCTTTATGCAATATATTTTTCTCAATGTCCAAAATAAAGTTGCACTTGTGTAGAGACGGTCCTTAAAAATAATTTTTTCATAAATTATGAACTTTCATGAAGAATGGGAAGTAAATTTGTATTATATTTCAATGCACTTTAACGTCAAAATGTTTTACTTGTCTATTTTTAGCCAAAACCGCTGAAATTACACACGTAAGGATGGCCGATAATCAAGTAAGTACATGTAATCAATTGTATATTATAATAAAGAAATATTTTTTACACATCAAAGCAGATTACGTATTAGTTACAACAGCTTAAAAACTTACGACTTTTCAACTTTATACACAACCATTCCCCACTATAAATTAAAGTCCGGGCTTTTTTTTATCATTGACAGCTGCCTTTTCAATAAAAATGAAACTCGTAAATTTACTTACCTAGTCATTGGTTATTTGCAAAATTATTTTGCTAAAACACATTCTGATTGCACACACAAGTACTCTGAAGTTGACCTCAAAGAGATGCTTGAGTTTCTGATTGACAATATCTATTTGTTTTTGTTTTTTGTTTTTTTTTTTTTTTTGGAGACCAGGTCTTCTAACAATCTATTGGAATGGGTACAAATTACACTCCGTTATTCGTAGACCTATTTTTGCATTCAAACGAAGCAGAATTTGTGCAAAATCTTATGCGTAAAAAGAAGAAAACAGTTGCTGTGGCCTTCAAATCGACATTTAGATATATCGACGACGTATTGTCAATTAACAATGGTAATTTCATTCCTACGTTGATACGATATAATCCTGGTGAGCTTGAGATAAAAGATACCACAGAGTCTGACACAGCTGCAGTGTTTCATACTTTAATATCTTACTTGAAAAAGACGTTATTGGTAATCCAACAACCAAGCTATATGATAAACGTGATGACTTTAACTTTTCTATCGTGAAGTTCCTTTACTTATGCAGCAATATACCTTTATCACCTGCATACGGAGTGTAAATATCTCAATTGATTCTATACGCAAGAGCATGCTCTACGTACAAACAATTTCTAAAACGAGGTAAATTATTGACAAGCAAGTTGATGAAACAAGAATATCAGCAGTCTCGTTTAAAGTCATAGTTTCGAAAGTTCTATGGTCAATACAATGATCTTGTCAGCAAATACAATTTATCATTGAGTCAAATGCTGACTGACATTTTTCATACTTATCGTTAGTCCATTATTTATACACTGAATTGACGACGGATTTTTCTGTTATTTTCCGATCATGACAAGGAGCACATGGCGGGTGTGACCGGTCAGCAGGGGATGCCCACTCCTCATTGGCACCTGATCCCACCTCTGAGGTTTCGGAGGTCTGTGTTTGCTCTGCTCCTATTTTGTATTGTTTTATGGACTTTGATATTGAATACTGTTCGTTATCTCCATATCCTTCTCATGATATCCTAGCTGATATATACATTGAATTTCCATCTGTGCATCCAAACGAAGTCAGAAATTAAGTGTAAAGAGTATTGAAAAATTCATTAAATACGTATATTTCCTAAGGAGTATAAGAATTTTAAGAATTTCCTCAATTCAGGAAATACTTGAGTATTGAAAAATTCATTAAATACGTATATTTCCTAAGGAGTATAAGAATTTTAAGAATTTCCTAAATTCAGGAAATACTTGAGATTCCCGATTACAGATATTTACTATATATATATATTTACCTATATATATTTTTTTGGCTTTTACATTTAACAAATTAAGATAAAAAACATAACATTAAAATTGTAGTAGGAATATATAATCAATATTTCTAATAGCTAGACTTAATATATAAATCTCATATTAATTGTATATGTTTTGGTACTTTATTTTATATAAAAATCCTATAAATCATAGACCAGTTTTCAAGATTTACCAGTAATTCTTGCCATTCAGTGTAGAAATCTTTTAATTGTCTCTTACTACAGTATAGATTTTTTAAAAATATGTAGTTTATAATGACATAATATCATATGTATTTGTTCAAAGAACCATATCAGAACGCTATGGTATCGTCGCAAGCCTCGTTGTTTGCTTCAAAAATTGCTCGTTTTCAAAAAACAAAAGCAAAAGAAAAAAATATGAAAACATCAAACAAACAAACTAGTAATACACATTCAACTATAATGCAATAAAGAAATTTGGATATAACAATAACCACTGTATTGGTTCAAATTAATATCTTTACTATTTTTTCACAAAAGTTATGCACGCAAACCCGGTCTTTAAAAAGCTATATACGTATTTATTTAAGATATAGTAATATTTTACTCGCTACAGTGTGATTTCATCGTTAGAAAAAAATGAGGCAGCATAATTACAGAAATTTCAATGATTCATTCAAGAAGAACGAAAACTTTTTGGTAATATTCAGCCACGGATTTGTGGAAATGGAATGAACACAAAATCCGTGGCTTGCGATAGTGATTCAATCTAATTATTCATCAGTTTTAAATAATATGAAGCATATACTTTTTTAAAAAAAAATCTGGTATAGTTGAGCGAATCAGGCATTCAAGACCATATTCCGAAGCATGCATCAGGGCTATCCATTCCATTCGCTGCTTTCTTTATTGTGGGTGAAATAGCCGGCACGGGGGTGCTAGCTCTTCCAAAGGCCGTCGACGACTCAGGTTGGTATAGATTTATTTATCAAACAGTTCATATAAAGGCATAATAGAGTTTTATGTACATTTTCCTCACGTAAAATAGTTTGGCTAGCATTACAAAGAGATTTTCACGCTCTAGGTTGGATTGGCCTCGTTTTGATTGTGGCATGCGCTCTCTTATCATCATATACGGGAAGCATTCTAGGACAGGCTTGGTTAATTGTGAGAGAAAGGTATCCAGAGTATCAGAGGCATTGCCCAAATCCTTACCGGTAATAGGAGAGAAGACATTTGGAAAGAAAGGAAGGTTAATAGAAAATTAATAAATCAAAATTTATTTTTCAATTAAGTTAACATTCAGTTGGAGTGCAAAGAAGCTCTCCACCGGCAAATGATGGCGTCTCCATATGAGTGTAAAAAAATATAGAGAGGAACTATCAACAATATAAATATAACCAAACATTTGATCATAAACAGGAAATATAATACTTTACCACACAAATCATCAGTGTTCCCCGTACTTTGATTGTAGATATGTGGTCTCCTTCTCCATTAATTTTACTATGTTTGGTGTAGCTGTAGTATTTCTACTCCTGGCAGCAGAAAACATTGAAGATCTAATAGAAG